ATTGACTTGAATCAAATACTGGATTTGACTGTGAATGGAGGAACTCTGGGTTGACTCCATGACCTGGTAGTTATGGGAACAGGATCCCATGACTGACTGAGTAGAGTCCCAGACCCAGTGGCTTGAAAAACATACCAGTTGCATGTCCAAGATACTGACATGATGGAAAAATGAAAGAGATCATGCCCCATTGGGAGGTGCTTTCTCCTTTTCTCCCTGGTGAGCACATTTGTCCTTTGGCAAAACTGAGAGAAAAAGAAGCTTTAATGCTTCAGCTTTTAGTATGAATGACATTAACTTTAAGAAGTTAACTCACGTGATGCACATTACTGCTGCATAAACTCTGCAAACTGAGGTGACTCCATTTGCATCTTATTCATTCTAGTTTTTTTTCTCAACCTAAGATGCTCTCTCAAAATCCAGGCTAACTTTTCTCCAAAGCCTTTTTTCTTTCTTTCTCCCTATTTTCCCTTCTTCCAGCTATCCCCACAACAATTTCTTTCTCCCTCTTATCTTTTCATAGCATGCCGTGCAAACTACTAATCTGACACTTGACCTTCAGAAAGCTAAATTCAGTTTTGAATCTCCTCCAGTTATGGGCATATAAGATGCTCAGTAAATATTTAAGGGAAAGAATGAGTTTAGAGAGAATAAACTAGTCTCCATGTGGGCCATATGGCTAATTCAAGTTTGGAAACAATATTGAAAGTAACATTAGGACTCTAGTGACATCAGATCAACAGACATTATGATAATGGCAGAAGTCTTAAACTTCTTCAAATTTCTATTGTAGACCACCACTGAAAACTAAAGTCACTAGTTTACTGGTTTTGTTTTTGAAGACATTCTGTTAAGTTGAAAATATTTTAAATGGACATCTGTCTTGTTATAGAAATTTTTTTTTTTTTGAGAGGTTTCTTGCTATAGGGCGCGTGCGCTCGCCAGACAGACAGAGAGAGACATAGAGACAGCAAGAAATCACCCCCCAGGAAGGAGGGTCACGCTGCAATCCCTTCTCCTCGATTCTCCTCTCGGGATCTTGGGCACGCATGCACGGCATGAGTTTTAAGCCACCGGGTCCGGGACCCGAACCGCGGTCAACTACGTGGGAGTCCAGCGACATAGCCATTACGCTAACTGCTGGTTCCCAATTATAGAATTTTTTATTGACTTGAAATGTTTTCTTTGTGAACAAAAATTTCAAATGTTAAGTTTATTCAGTGTGCCATCAGTCATTTTTCTGGGTTAGAATGTGTTAACACTATTAATGGCTAACTTACAGAAGTATGAAACAAGAGTGGGCGATAAGGGCACTCAGCTCTCCGGAGGTCAAAAGCAGAGGATTGCGATTGCCCGAGCCCTCATCAGACAACCTCAGATCCTACTGCTAGATGAAGCTACATCAGCTCTGGATACCGAGAGTGAAAAGGTGTGGTCTCTCACCTTATATCCCATTTATCTATAAAAAGGTTTTGTTTTGGTTTTGTTCATTTATGTTTTGCTGACAACTATGGGGGCGGGGGGAGCCACATAAGCACAAAGGGGAAAGAAACACAGAAATTTAGATGGTGGTTATTTTGAGGTAACAATTTTCTTTTATAAACAGAAAAGAACTCAAAAGAGAACTACAAAAGTCAGTTTTAGCACATTAACTAAAATAATGAAAACTAGAAATTAGTTAAAAAAAAAAAAAAGAGCCAGTTAAATAAAATGATACCATGATTAGTTAGGAAATTTGAATACTTATGAAGATTATTTACAGGATGGGAATCCACTTCTGTTATAATAAACATAACTGTATGTAGATTTGTCAATTGTGTACAATACACATGAATAAAGACAAAAATGAAAAATTTTAAATTTCTTTTAATATTAAAATTTATTTGTACAAGTTTCAGGGTAAGATTTCTGCTTGATTTAACAATAGGTTGTCCAAGAAGCCCTGGACAAAGCCAGAGAAGGCCGCACCTGCATTGTGATCGCTCACCGCCTGTCCACCATCCAGAACGCGGACTTGATAGTGGTGTTTCAGAACGGCAGAATCAAGGAGCATGGCACACATCAACAGCTGCTGTCGCAGAAGGGCATCTATTTTTCAATGGTCAGTGTCCAGACTGGGACACAGAACTTATGAACTCTTGTTACAGTTTATCTTAAAATAAATTCAAATCATTGTACAACTTTATCTGACTTGTGAAAAAAGTTTCTAGTTTGTCTTCACAAAAATACAGGCATCGGAACCAGCAGTTAGCGTAATGGCTATGTCGCTGGATTCCCACGTAATCGACCGCGGTTCGCGTCCCGGATCCGGTGGCTTAGAACTCACGCCGGGCGCGTGTGCATGCGTGCCCAAGATCCCAAGAGGAGAATGGAGGAGAAGGGATTGCGGCGTGACCATCCCCCCCTGGGGGGTGATTTCTCGCTTTCTGTCTCTATGTCTCTCTGTCTGGTGAGCGCACGCGCCCTATAGCGAAAAAAAAAAAAAAAAAAAACCCCTCCAAAAAAAAAAAAAAAACAGGCATTATCTTATTCCAGATGGATGTTCAACTTGATGTTTAATATTACAACATTTCAAATGTGAGAGGTAGAAGTGACACCTGTTTTGAAGTAGGAAAACAGCCTAGAGCTCCCTGAGTAGTTGGAAACACCCAGAGAACAGCAAAGTTCGGGTATATACAGGTGTGATATTATTACAAATCACAGACATAGGGAAAATCATATGGTTTTGAATAGGTGGGTAGATGACAGGACGGTTTGGAAACAATTTTTGCAAATATATAGAAAAAGAAATTGTTCGATAGCCTAATATTACCCTTGGTAAGTTTCTAAATTTTTCTATTGTACAATTAAAATTTTTTTTAAGACATTCCCAGGTTTACTAAGAAAACCCAAAAGAAAATGAAATTTGCCTTTAGTCTAGCTAACTTTTCAAGCAAGTATTTGTTTCACAAAGCAAAGCAAAACTATATTAAGCATTTAAAATTTTAACTCATTAAGGTGTACATATTTTTATAATTTGAAACACTAGACATATAAAATACTGTTTCTATAGCAACTATATTACCTCTTTAACAAATATTCCATTTTTCCCAGAAAATTAATATAGCGAAAGGTAGCGAAAAATAAATATTCTAGGAAACCCCTTGAGGCTAACTACATAGAAATGCCATTTCCATAACTTCCTATTTCTTTTCTCCATAATTTTCTACAGTGATACCGGTTCTTATTGCTCTACCAGGTTATTCAGGTCAGCAAATCTATCGAAACCAAGTTCTTTTATCTCTAATTACCAAGTAATTTTTCAAATATGTCCACGTGTATAAGTGGATTCAATTTCAGATTACTGAAGACAAAAGTGAGGCAGAGTATATTACTGCAGTGACTCAAAGTGTAGAGTATTCACTCTGATCCTGGATCATCTTCCTCAAACTTACCAGTAAAGTTGCCTCTGGAAATTCTGACTCAGTAGATCTGAGGTGAGGCCCAGAAATCTATTTGTAAAAAGCACTTTAGGTAAGTAGGGAAAACATGTTAAAGCATGAGTGAGACAAGTTTTCTCTGTTGGTGATGTAGTTTCCGAAACACTCAACTCATTAGATATTTAAAACCAATCACGTTTCTAAATGCCCAGACTATCTAGTCTACAAAACTGCACGAGAGAGGAAAAAGGCCCTTGGTTCAGATCCATCTTCCTATTCTATAACAACTGTGGAGGATGTATCAAATGTCACAGAAGCCAACACCGAAAGTTTTTTTTTCTTTTGAGAGGTTTTTGCTATAGGGCATGTGTGCTCACCAGAAAGACTGAGAGAGACAGAGAGACAGAAATTGAGAACCCCCCCCCCCCCAGGGGGGATGGCCATGCCACAATCCCTTCTCCTTTCTCTCAGGATCTTGGGCACACACACACACACACACCTAGCGTTGAGTTTAAGCCGCCGGGTCCGGGACTCGAACCGTGGTCGACTACGTGGGAGTCCAGCGATATAGCCATCACGCTAACTGTTGTTCCCCTAAAGTTTGAACAAAGAAACAGTACTGGTACTTTTCAGGATAGGGCTGGTACAATATCATGGGCTTAATAAGTGTCAGTTATTATTATGCTAAACAATAACTTGTCTTATCAAATTCAGAACATATGAAAACATAATAGTAAGTACACTACATATGCTATAATCTTCATGTTAAGCTGTGTGGTAGTGGGACCAGCAGGTAGCACGGTGGTGAAGGTGCTAGACTTCCACATAGGCAACTGAGGTATGAGTCCCAGACCTGGCAGCTTAAAAAATCATACCCAAACATGTGTGCATGTGTGCCCAAAATCCCAGGAAGAGAAGGGATTATGGCGTGGTCATCCCCTCTGGGGGTGATTTCTCACTTTCCTTCTCTCTCTCTGGCAAGTGAGTGCACCCTATGGCAAAAACCTTAAAAAAAAAAAAAAAAGTGTGGTAGATTCCTCTAGAAATGGCCCCAAATAAGTCATGCCCTCTATGCTTATTTACAAAGTGACTTTGTTCCTCTTATCAAGAAATGAGGCTCTTCCCCTACTTGAAAACTTAGACTTCTTTTGTGACCTGTTTTAACCAACTGAATGCAGCAGAACTGGCACTGTATGACTTCAGAGCCTAATCCTCAAGAGACCTTTCAATTTCTCCTTTCACATCTCAGAACACACCCACTACCAGGTAAGGAAGTCCACTCTGGAATACTGAGAGATGAGAGACCACATGGTGAGAGAATGTCTCAGCCACTGAGTCACCAGACAGTAGGTAAGGCTGCCTTAGACTTTCTAGCCTTCATCCTAACTGCTTGATGATTCCAACTGTATAAACTGAGCAAGACCAGTAGAACTGAGAATAACCAACTGACAAAATAATGAGAAATAATAAGAAGTAAAACACTTAGTTTTGGGTGGTTTATTACACAGCAATATAAGACTGAGATCAGAAAGTACAAGGAAAGCAAACAGGAGTGAATAATCAAACACAAAACGAAAGCTATAGGATTTGAGAGTTTTATTTTCTGAGTAGAAACTACAAAATTAAAGAGCGAGGAGAAAAACATCCTAAGAATTTGATTCAAAATTTAACCTTTTAAAAGTCATTAACTATAACAATGCATTTTAAATATAAGTGCTTTGTTTTTATATTTACAAAAGTAATTACAATGATATACCATAATGAATTTTGTTTGGGGTCTTTGCACGTTAGAGGGTGTAAATCTTCTTACTATGATCTATTCTTCTGTCTGTTCAACAGAAGCTATTTTAGATCATCATTAAACTGTAGTGGTCTTTCCTGAGAAACATAATAGGTTTGTATCCAGGTGGTGAGTGTGGAAGGCACTGATTTTAGAGAAATTAGCATCCAATCATGTATTTCATACCCTTTGGCAACTAGAAAATATTAAAGTGCTTAAGAAATAGATTCTACAATGTTGTTCATAGAGAAGATTTATAATCTGTATAAGTACTAACAACAATATTTAAATCAGAGCAAAATTTGCATTTTTAAAACTTGTAGATTTGCATTGTTGAGGCATATCTTAAACATTGCATAGTTCTATGTTCATTATTCTAATAATTTGCATTGCTGTTGCAGAGGAGGCTTAAAAAACATTTCTACCTTCTACGGCAGAATACATTTTGAGAGCATGATTCTACTAACTTCCACATTTAACAAGTTTCCTCTTACGTGAACATTCCTCCCATCTCTTATAATCAGCCCACTCCCAGTTTAGTGATATATTTCCAGTTCAATGATACATTTTGGTAAATGCTTAATCAATAATCAATAAATAGTCTCTAAAGATGAGCAGGGTTCGTCAGCTGTATCATATCATGGAAAGCATGAAAAAGCAGCTTAACTAACTTTTCTGCATCCGTCTCCGGACATGATTTCCAGGCTGTACAGGCCACAAAAAACCTGTGAAACATAAATTATAAATGATTACGCAAAAGGATCTAAATTATGGTGAACAGAGACAGGGCCTTAATACATGAAATGCAAATTCTTGCAGTTAGATAAATATACTCTGACACAAGTGAAGGTGAAGTCATAGTTCTAGATAATGTCAAGGAACTCCTAATTCACCAGATGACTAGAGCCTGAGTACAAAAGGAAAAAGAAAATTAGTTTGCTCTGGAGCAAAGTCTTTTTTTTTTTTTTTTTTTTTGTGGAGCAAAGTCTTTATAAAGATTTCGTTCTGTTTTCGACTTAAACGTCTTTGGAATGAGTTAGAATATGAATTCATGCTACTGTTTGCAATGAAATTTGAGTTGCTTTTAGAAAAGAGTGTAGTAACACTTGGAGAAAAAAAGGAAATGGAGAAAGATAATAGTTAAGAAAAGGTGTTTCTAAAAGAGTCAAAGGGAAACTCTTGGAACCAAGTAATACCTTCCACCATTTTCCCTGATGAAGAAAGTCACTTCTGGCAAGTAAGAAGAGTGGTGCCAGGAAACTGAAGTAAACAGGAGGGAAGCCTGGCTTCTGGCTCACTCAGCACAGGCTGCCTTTACCCACTTTCTTACACTTAGCTTTCCAGACTCAGAAGTTCCTATCCTAACAAGTGAATAAAGCTCAAAATCAAAATCTGCGATGTAAAACTTCTGGACAACCATGCAATTTTCACATTACTTAGAGAGAGCGAGTTTCAACATGTGCTTTTGATTAAGCAGAATGAAATTAAAAAACATGCTCTGGCATAGTATGTTAATGATGAAATCAGTGTTCAAATGGATTTTATTTATTTAAAGATATACAGGAATCTTTAAGAAGTCCTGCCTTATTTTCATCGAATGATTCATAATCACTAGGAATAATTTTCCAGCTATACTGTTCATGAAATTCACAAGCATCTAAATGTTTTTCTTTTTTGGGAGAGGTTTTTGTTATAGGGCATGTGCCAACATGTGCTTTTGATTAAGCAGAATGAAATAAAAAAAACATGCTCTGGCACAGTATGTTAATGATGAAATCAGTGTTCGAATGGATTTTATTTATTTAAAGATATACAGGAATCTTTAAGAAGTCCTGCCTTATTTTCATCGAATGATTCATAATCACTAGGAATAATTTTCCAGCTATACTGTTCATGAAATTCACAAGCATCTAAATGTTTTTCTTTTTTGGGAGAGGTTTTTGTTATAGGGCATGTGCGCTAACCAGGACAGAGAGAGACATAGAGACAGAAAACAAGAAATCATCCCCCAGGGGGGATGGCCATGCCGCAATCCTTTCTCCTCCATTCTCTTCTCGGGATCTTAGGCACGCACGCACACATGGACGGTGTGAGTTTAAGCCATTGGGTTCAGGACTCAAACCGTGGTTGACTACATGGGAGTCCAGCAACATAGCCATTATGCCAACTGCTGGTTCCAAATTCACAAGCATCTAAATGTTTTTTTACAGAGATTAACAACTCCTATTTGTTTTCAATTAAATTTTTTTTAATTTCATTTTCCTGAATGCATAGACAATTTGTGAAACACTGATGCCAATAAACAAAAAATGATTTCCTTCATAAGTAAGCAAAGACTTCAAGTTATGTATTTTTACCTATAAAATTAGTAAAGAATGCTTTATAATACCTATTGTAGACAATGATGTGATGAAATGAGAATGGATATTTATAACATACATTACTTGTATAATGGCAAAAGAAAATAGTAGGAAAACAGGTCAATTATGGAAATCCATAAGGCTTGAAATCAACCTTTGTAATATTTACAAACCTAAGTATTTTAATCTATATACATTATAGATTGGAAGTATCACACAATAATAATAGTCTTATGCCATGGAAATGCAAATAACTGCTTTTTTAGTTTTCCATATTTTACAATTACTTTTACAATGAGCATACAGTATATATAAAATACTATTTATAAATATTAAGCCAATTTTCTTTACAATACACAATTTTTTAGTTTAATAGTAAATAAAAAAATTCCTTGCAGACAATTTCATGTCTTTCATTTTAAAACTATTTTGAGTGTGCTTACAGTAATGACTCCAAGTCTACCTGACTCTAACCTCTTTTTTGAGCTCCAAACTGAAGTATCCAAACTACCTACTGATGTAACTTCCTATATGTAAATGTCATTAATTCCCATATTAGAAGAGCTCTCCAAACTAATTTCTCTCCTAATTTTCTCCATCCAGCAAATGCTACCATCAGACTCAACAATCCATCAGTAGGTCCTACTGGTTCTAACTCCAAATTATATCTCAAATCTTCCACTGCTCTCCACCTTCATTATCAAGTTTCATTCAAGTCAGCATCATCCTTGCTTCCTAGTTTCCTCACCTCATTCTTGTCCACCCAATTTATATTCCATATAGCAGCTAATGGTCCTTTTTACATGTAACTTCCCCACTTAAAACTTGTAAAATGCTTCCAATTATTCTTTGGGAAATGTCAAACTTCTCATCATGTTACATGGTCCTATATCAACTGACAACACCAATCAAACCAGGATCTCCAGTGTTATTGTTTTTTTAAGCTCTCTATAGAGGTCTGATATATACTCTGGCTGACAATATTGTCCTACAAGGTTTAGGTCTTGTCTGCTTCTTTGCAATCTCCTCTTCTATTACTTTCCCTCTCTATTGCAGATTTATAGCCATACTCTTTCTGTTTCTATCCCTGGAACTATATACTTAAAATGGGTCTTCAAAAAAGTTAATGGAAAATATGTATTATGAAAAAAATATCTATAGATTTCAAAAGATTTTTGCACAAAAATATACTTTAATTCCATTTTCCTTGAGCTTTCTGAAGCCTCCCAATATGTTCAACAACAAAGTAATTCTAAAAACACAGAGGGCAACTATTTATGAGTCATGGTTATAGCACTGAGGCTGTAACAACAGACCAAGACCCACAAGACCCTGTTCTTGTGGAGATTATATTCTAGGAAGGGAACTTATATACACAAACATAAATTTCAGGTGAGTGTTGGTACTCTGAAGAAAAGCAGCAGGTATGGCAGGGGAAAGTGCTATTTTAGATGGTCAGGGAAGGCCTCTCAGATGAGGTGACATTTCAGCAAATACATACATGAGGGAAGGAGGGATCCTTACATATATCTGAAGGGAAAGTACTGAGCAGAGGAAATCCTAACTGCAAATGCCTTGAGGAGGGAGCTTGCTTGGTACATCAAAGGAACAAGTAAAGCTGTGTGGGTGAAGTAAGTGAAGGAGTAGTGAGTTGTAGGAGATGATCAGAAGGGTGATGAAGCTAGATCATGCAGAATCTCACAGGAGGACTGTGGATTTTACTAAAAGTGAAATGGGAAGCTCTTGGAGGGTTGTGAGTAGAGGAGTGACATAACTTGATTACATTTTTAAGATCAAGACACCTGTGTAGGTGGAAGCAAGATGATCCCATAGGAACCTGTTATAATAACCTCAGTGGGAGAAGACAGTGACTTGGTCTGAGTGGTAACATAGGAGGTGGTAAGTAATAAGATTCTAGAGACCTGCTTTCTTGGCTGCTCATACGATTCCTTCACATCTTTAATATCTTAGTTGTGTTATTCCTCAAAGATCATCCCTGACCACACTATATTAAGATCATTTCATTTTTATTACTACATCAACTTTCTTATTTCTGCACAGCATTCATCACTATTTGAAGTTACTTATTTGTTCCCAATTTTATCTTTTTTTCCCCAATAAAAAACAAAATCTGTAAGAATGAGGATTTTAAAGAATCAGCAGTTAGTATAATGGCTATGTCGCTGGACTCCCACGTAGTCGGCCGCGGTTCGCGTTCCAGACCCGGTGGCTTAAAACTCACACCGGGTGCGTGTGCGTGCGTGCCCAAGATCCTGAGAGGAGAAGGGAGGAGAAGGGATTGCGGCGTGACCATCCCCCCTGGGGGGTGATTTCTCGCTTTCTGTCTCTATGTCTCTCTCTGTCTGTCTGGCGAGCGCATGCACCCTACAGCAAAAACCTCTCAAAAAAAAAAAAGAATGAGGATTTTGTATATTTTGTGTCCTTCGCATCTAAAACAATACTAGTACACTGTACTTTCTCACTACAGATTTCCTAAATGAGACTATCAAAGTTCTGCCCCAAGATCACAAAAAACAGTTTTCTAAAAGTCAGAGAGCTGAGGACTGTCACTGTATAGAACACAGGGTCCACCACTTCTCGTGGAATATGTTTGAATGCTTATTCTCTGTGTATGAGGACTTCAGATCTCTGATCCTTTTTTTCTGAAAAAAAAAAGTAAGATTCATATCTAATTGTCATCATTTAACCTTTAGTTTGGGCATTAATGTTTACACACTGAACACTATGCTAATGCATAATCCAAAGGCGTAGTGGTCAACAGTGACGAGTACCACAGATATAATGGACCATGCACGTATTACACTTCCAGAGAAAGCAGATAACAATTTTTAAAAACTAAGACTGACTTTAAGCTCTTTAAAAAAGGAGACGTACAAAAATAATACACTAGAAACTGAAATATATCACTCACACTATCACTCCAATTTTTTACATTCCATCTGGAGTATTTTCAAGCCTGCCTACAAGATCTTAGACACAGAGTACTACATGTAGCCATCTGTGTTTTTACAAAGACTCCCATGCTCCAAAAGACCCCTGTGAACAGACTTCCAGTGTGTGTGAATGAGAAGCCTCCATGCCTTGCTGTCACTTTCATATTATGTTTCTAATCTTTTCTATATCAGGTTTTAGTCTCCTCTTTCTCACTCTTTACACCATAAACATAAGTCAAACCCCACATAACCCAAATGAAATACATCTGAATGATAAAACATTTTTAAAATATAAACTGATTTATCTAGTCTTTCTTGCCTCATTAGCATTGTCTATGATTATATGAACTACCATATTATTTATAAGTTTTATCTTGTATACACCAAATATGTTAAAGAGCATACTGATTTTAAGAGTGATGATTACAGGGTCACTGAGTGGACTGAAATAGTGTTCTGCATAAAACCACTTAACGGACTAATCTGATGAAAGCAAGATATAGAAACATACATAAACATTAAATGGCTAAATGGTAAAAATAGTTACTTATATAGTAAGTTACAGATGATGATACGGTAAGAATCAAAGTGTAAAAAGATACTCAGACATTCAAATAACAGAAATGATACCTTTCTTACTCTATAGCACAGTAAAAATGGAAAAAAGAAGACTCACTTGTCATCTCTGATGTGGTAGAATAATCCATATCCATTATGTACCATGGGAACCACCAGTCCCTGGAATCGTAAATAACCAACCAGGCTTGTTGAAAGAACAAAATTTCCACCTCCTCCACTATATGAAAAAGGAAAGGATATTTCACTAGGCCTATATATGTTTAAATTGTTTCTGAAAAGCTCTTAACATTAAGGAAAAAAGATACTGGTCAAGTTATAAAATACCACACTATGTTACCTTTTGGAGAAAAGTGGATCTGTAAAGAGTTCTGGAACAGGGAGACCTTCCTCTTTTGCTATGAGAAAGAGACCTAAGAGGTGACGGTCAATTCCTGCAATAAAGCCCCAAGTCTGAAGTTAGAAAAAAAAACCTTTCAACATGAGAGTTCTTTTTAAAGTCAGCATCATTCCCGCATAAGTACCTTTTCCAGTTGAACAATCGTTCATCATTTTATTATGTTTTGCAAAAGCTTGTAACATCTTTTCTTGTCGTTCAAGTGGCTGTATTAAAATCAAGAGACACTTGAATAACCAACTGTACAAAACTCAACTAGACAAAAAAAATCCTGCACTCACTGTAATTGGGATTTAGGTGACACGGGAGAGAAAAGAGTTCTGAGAAGAGCTGTATGACATATCCTCCTATGTCTTCTCCTTAATTCTTCTATTGCCTTTTCTTTCCTACACACCCTGCTTCTTGGCTATTTCTTTCCTAGAATACGAAAATAGGAACTTGTGGGCAGTATTGTAATGACATCAACAAAAGTAAAGACAGAGGGAACTGGGATTTAAAAATAAAGTATGACTACAAAAATGAAAATAAAGTAGTGCTATGAAATGAAAATAAATTAGTACATAATTCCTATTAAAACATGATAGACAAAGAGAAACAACAGAAAATAACAATGGGGAGGAAAGATGCTGTTGTCTAAAATGTTTTTTAAAAAGTACAAAAACAAAACATATAAAACTGTCCTAGTTCTAATATACAAAACAAGAATCTATAATTTTGAAAGCATTCAACCACATAAAAAAAAAAAAAAAAAGAAAGAAAGAAATCCAAACTTTAATTACAAAGTTACTTTCTCTTCAGGGTTCCTCTGTTTCATAGTTTTTCTAAGCATACACTTCACTAGTAAATAAATTCTTTGACAATTTCAGGAAAAAATGTCTCAAAGTATTTAATGACACAGGGAAATTAAAGACAGAAGACGGCTATTCAAGGGCCAAGGTACCTTTTGAACAATTAAAGCGAATCAAGTGCATTTTTCCTTTTCCAGTACTCACACTGGTGGAAGGATCCTGCATGGACTGGCACCACCTGACTGCTTCCACTGTACAAGATCGCATAGTCTCTGTACGACCATGATAAAAATATCTTGTCATAGCTGTTTCATAGCAGCAACCAGGGCTACAAGAAAATAATTGAAGAGTATATCGCAAGAAAGAAAATGCCCTAATGTCATTACAGATACAGTTATCTAATAAACGTGGCTGTTTTCAAAGACTAAGCTTTATTGTCCAGACTACTGTTGAGACTTTCAATAACAAACAGGGCTAGTTTCAATACCAAAGAGTAAAAGTATACTTTGACAACATGAGTTGTTTCCAAGACTTGGCTACTGTCAGGTTATATACATTGCATTCTGTGGCAGGAAGCCTCTCTAAGATGGTCCTTCTCTACCTTACAATTTACACTCTAGTGTAACAAGAGTGTGGGCAAGACTTAAGTGACTTACTTCTAATGGAGAGAAAACAGTAAAGTGATGATGGTATGTCACACCGGAAATTAAATGATAAAGAGCTCTCTCCTGCTCTCTCACATCCTCCTTGCTCAGCTGCCATTACAAGGGCTGTCCTAGAGAGGCCTGGGTGACAAAAAACTGAGGGAGGCCCTTTGGGCAAGAGCTAGGAAGGATATGAAGTAATACTGTTACTCAGCATGTGAGTGAGCTTGGAAATGGACCCTTCCTCAGGAGAGCCTTCAAATAAAAACAGAGCCCTGGTTGACATTCTGACTATGACGTCATAAAAGCCTTTAAGCAAAAGGTACTCAGCTAAACTGCACCAGGATTACTGCGTCATAAAAAATATAATTAATGTTTGTGTCTTAGTCACTAAGTTTTGGGGTGATTTGTTATACAGAAAAAGATTATATAGAGCCTTTGGCCTTTAGTTGCTTCATATAAAACACTAGAACAGACTAGAATTAGGTGAAGTACTATTTAAAAAGCTCCCCAGAATGATAACTGTTTTACTGTATTGGAGAAGAATATAACAATTTTATACATAGAGCTCTTCTACTTTCCTGGTGGTCAGAATTTATAGGTGAAGAGATCGAATGGAATGAGAGTAAAAGATCTGAAATGTGGCCACTATGAGGGCTCAGCTGCCTCTTCTGTTCAGTGTTTGTCTTCTTAAGGAAAATGGTATCTTCTCAAAGTATAAAGAGAAAGCATAAATAAAAAGTTCAAATAGGACTAAACTAACATTCTTTTTAAAAAGTTAAAAATAAAAACAGTAAAGACAAATAATAAAAATAGTACTACTCTGCAGCCTCTCCTGAAATAATGGATCTTCAATGATCAATGGCTACTAAAGAGTTTGGTTAAAACAACAACAACAACAACAACAACAACAACTCATAAAGGGCAGGCCAGCTGGTGGTGTGATGGTTAAGGCAATGGACTCCCTTATGGCGGGTCACGGTTCGAGTCCTAGTTCTGGCAGCTTGCTTTCTCACTTTCCCTTTTTTTCTCTCTGTCTCTTACTGGTGAATTAAAATAATAATAAGAAGAAATTTTAAAAACTTTTTAGTCATTTAAAAAAAAACACTCAGATAGGAAACATTATAATGGATGCTGGTGGACAACTGAACCCACTCATAATCTTAACACAATGAAGTAGAAAGTGAATAGTGGGGCAAGCAGGTGGCATGGTGGGTAAGGGTGCTGGACTCCCCCACATAGCGAACATGGTTTGAGTCCCAGACCTGGCAATTTGCTTTCTCACTTTCCCTCTCTCTTTTTCTCTCTCTCTGTCCCTCAGAGTCAAATTAAAATAAACAAAGTTAAATAAAATAATTCTTTAAAAAAATAAAAAAGAAAATAGCATTATTTATTTGATTTATTGTTGCAAAAAAATGTTTTAAATAAAAACTGATTCTTATTCTCAAGTCTCTAGCATTAAACACCAGTTTGCAGGAAATATAGGAGACTGAGCAACACATTAAACAACATCATGAGGGTACAACTGCAATCAGAAAAATTCAGAAAACTCTACAGGACAGATGACCCAGTACCTTCATTAAATAAAATTTAACAAGAAAAAGGTAGAAGAACAGATTTTTACAGTTAAAAAAGACTTAAGAAACCTGTCAATCAAATTAAATATGTGAAACTTATTAGAAACCTAATTTAAATATATCCATTGTCTAAAAAAATAGTACTCTGTGAAATTTCTAATGAGGGACTATGATGGGCTAGGTTATAGCAAACCAGTTTGAGAGAAACAAAACTAAAAACTGGATGTAAAAAATGTGTTTGAAGGCTTTGCAGAGTTGTTAAGGGAGCCAGAATGTGAAGGCCAAGATCCATAGTGAAGAGCAACTCTTTGAAGTGAGGCAACTTATCTAGTGTCACTTCTTCCCCCTCAAGCAACCTGATGTTTCATAATACATATTAATACACATGAGCAGAAAGGCTGGAAACTGAGCAGAAAACTACTACTATGAGGCAAAGAAACTAAATAGGTCTTTCACTATCTCATGAGGCTGATTAAACAAAGTTAGAGGTCAGGGCTCACAAAGGAGCCAGCATGTGAGAGCCCAAGATCTTAGACTTAGGTAATCCCAGAGATGGATTCTGACTAAGCCTCTTTCCTCTAGGCATTTGCTTACTGGTAAGTGGAGCAGGCTGCAAGGTACAAGACCAAGGAGGCTCAGAAAATAACTGAAGCCATCAATAACCCCACAGTTCTAAGGAGATAAAATTTAAGAGTTCAAGGCCTATTATAGCGGAGGGGTCCTAATAAACACCCTAGGGTTTTATGATAAGAAAAAAAAAAAAAAGAACAAATGGAAATATATCAGACTGACCCAGCCACAGTAACACATGTTGAACACTGCTGCTGGGCAGGCTGAGGCCATATTGGGAGGTTGGGTTCTATTCCCGGCCCACCCTAAAAGTCCAGCTCAGGGAGCCTTCAATCCCTGTTACTTGAGAGACAGAGGCAAAAGCATCATGACAAAAAGATCCTGTCTAAACTACCACATACACACATGCATAAACACCACCAAAAAAATAAATAAATAAAAGTCTACAAAACTCTAAAATCCAGCCTAAATTTAGTGTAGTCTGGATTAAGATAAAGTACTACACTCTAACTGCCCATCAGAAGTAAAGAAAATCTTTTCTGAAGGAAAACAATATCACATAGAGCAAGATTTCTCAACAGCAGTGCTGTGACAGATGGACTGAGTCATGTTTTGCTATGGGGAGACCTTCCCATACATTGTAAGATGCATCCCTGGCTCTACCCATTAGATGCACCTTCTCTCCAAGTTGTGACAATGAAATCTCCAGGTATTATCAGCTATTACCAAATCTCAACCAAGGGCAATGGTGCCCCCTAGAAGACAGTCCTGACATAGAGCCTGAACAGTACTAAGTCTGCTAACCACATATGGTAGCACGTAAACTCTAGCTCATCCAAGTTGAGCTGGATCCTAACTATGAGAAGACACCGGGTCCTGCTGCAGTGGTGCACACTGCTAAGATGCCATGCTTTGCAAGCTGAAGCCATATGGGAGGCCTGGAGTTGATTCCCAATCCAACTTGAAGGCTGAACATGGTGGGTATGCATCTATAATCCCAATGATTCAGGGAGGCTGAAGGAGCATTATGACACAGCGGGACACTGTTCAAAAACCAAACATCCCAAGATATACCCCCTACATTCCCTACCCCCAGAGTAGGAAAAGATAACTGACTGCTTCACATAAATACATTAGAAGTACACTGTGGGGTTTATGACAAACGCACAAGTATAATGTATGACAACAACAGCACCAAGACTGAGAGATAGGAAATAAAAGTATTCTGTATTCTGTTTTAGGGTTCTTACATTATATAATGGAAAACACTATTTGAAGGTCGTTAAAGATACTTGGTAAACCCTAGTGCTATTATTTAAAAATAAAACAGTAGAGGTAACAGAGGAGATAAAATGGAATAACAACAACAACAAAACACTCTAAATTCAAAGATATAAAAGAAAGAAGGAACAAAGAACAGATAGGTTAAAGAGAAAGAAAGTGGCAAGATGATAGACTTACACTCAATTTTATTGACAATTATATTAAATGTAAATTATTTAAACATCATATACTATCAGGCTGCATAAAAAAGCAAGATCAAGGGGCTTCCATTTCTACTTAGGATGTAGAAAGTCACAATATGCTGCCTCTCCTATCCTGAAAATGAATAAAAGCTGGAATATCTATAAAATCAAAACTTTTCATAGACCCAGCAGAAAACTGAGGTAGCAAAAAAAACCATAGTCAACTGAATGACTAAGAATGAAAAAGCTTCTCTTAGAAGAAACCAGCCACTTAAATGCATCAAGTGAATACTATGATAAAATATCAAGGAAAAACTGAAACTGTCACAGATGAGAACTCTGATGTACTACTGACAGAAGTACTAAGTGCCAACTGGGAAAAGTGAGAAAAGCCCTGGAGAGTTAGGATGGGCTAGTCTCGGGAAAGATGCATCCTAGAACTTCAAGATTCTGCAAATGACAATCAATGGTCCTCACCGTCCATGAAGTCTGTAATAGGCCAGCTGAAGTGCAAGCTGAATAAACGTATCAGGGTGAAGCTTCTTCTGCTTGGTTAGATTTTTCCCAAAAGATGTAAAGGGTTGTACCACAACCTTCAGGTCAGATGCCTAACAAAAACAATTAAATGGGGACAGTGAAAGATCTCCTAAGAAGAATATCACAAAGAGAAGCAAATTATAATTTCCAATAAGATAATCATAAAGAATTAAAAGTATTAAAAGCTCTAATTTTAACATGTTTTATGCTTGCATGTTTGGAATGACAGATTTTTAGATTAGGTACATAAAACAGAAAGCATTACTACCAAAGAGAAAGGTGAAACTCTACCTCCTTGAGGAACTGGGCTTCAGCTTGACTGATGTCATTTAATATTTTCTCATCCACGGTAAAAACAAGTTCTTCTGGAAGTGGTATATCCCTTACTTTTTCTGAACCCTGAAATTGGGAAAACTTTTCAAAAATGTTTTATCTATAAAATATTTATGGAAAATGAAGTATCTGTTCTTACATACCTTCCACCTTCCTTCATTCTCAATAATTTTGTTATCGACATAGCTGCTGATGTTCACTATAACCATTGCATCATAAGGAGAATGCTGAAATGAAAAGACAGATGATTTTAAATACTTTGCTTAAAACTTGACCCAATATTTCATTTTCATTTTTTTTCCTCCTCCATTCTTAACAGAAAAGTACAAAAATCCTCAAATACTTCACCTCTTAATATAAAGATACCAATTTCCTATAGTACAGTGACTGCAGTACTTTAATTTTAAAAAAAGAACAAACATTCAAAATTGGAGGCACTGAATTAGTGGTCTTGTGGCCATGGAGGGGTTGGAGTGTGTACAGTAAACATGTAACTAACAGCAAAGCTACTTGCTAATTTTACTGGTAGTCAAAGGAGGTGTGCATTATATTGCAATGCTACAATCTTCTGCGGTTGTCAGGGAAGTGTGGGAAAGCAGATGGGGGATGGCAGAGGACTTGAAGTCACTCGGGATGGCTATGAACCTCTTTAGGTAAAGACACAGGCCCCGCAGTGAATTATTAGAAAGCATAACTATTTTGTGTATATATCTGTTGGGTTGTCAGAAAAGTACTGGTGGCTTGAAAATCATGCCAGGTACATGTGCATGCATACCCAAATCCTGAGAGGAGAATGGAGGAGAAGGGATTGTGACATGGCCATCCCCGCTGGGGGTGATTTCTCGCTTTTTGTCTCTATGTCTCTGTCTGTCTGTCTGGCGAGCGCACACGCCCTATAGCGAAAAGCCTCTCAAAAAAAACAAAAATCAATTGAACAAAAACTATACACAAATTCCATTTTTCAGACATACACCCAACTGTTAACCCAACTGTTAGCCTTCCTACAGAAGAAAATGATTTGCCTTTCACTGATAATTCCTAACTAGACTTTTTGCTATAATACTATAGCACTAAAGAGGTGTTTACTTATATTACACACCAGCACAGCATAAGTATTTCTGGTTCACTGCCATTAATTTAACCTAAATGATTAAAAAGAAAAAACTTCAGTAGTTCACTTACGTCACAATTACAGCCAAACAGTCCATTAGAAAAGGAAATTATGCTATAGGATTTGTCACCCCAGCGTATTCTTGGTTCTCCAATAAGAAGCATTGTAGTTAACTAAAATAAATGTAAAATGTTCAAATTAACAAGATTTTAATACAGTTTATTTACATCTTAAATACATATAACATGATCTCACTTTTCCTCTTTAAGTCATTCAAATTTAATAAAATGATAATAGAGTTACATTCAAGCCATAATAATTCTGGCCCTGATTTCAGGTGTATTTATTTATTTATTTTTGAAAGGATTTTGCTATAGGGCCTGTGCACTCGCCAGAAAGAGAGACAGAGAGACAGAAAGAGAGAAATCACCCCCCAGAAGGAATGGCCACGCTGCAATCCCTTCTCCTCCACTCTCCTCTCAGGATCTTGGGCACGCACAAACATGCGCCCTGCTTGAGTTTAAGCCACCAAGTCTGGGACTCGAACCATGGCCGACTACATGGGATTCCAGTGATATAGCCATTACACCAGCTGCTGGTCCCTGATTTCAGGTATTTTACAAAGATGAGGCTTTTGTAACTTGAATAGTAGAAGAGGTCCTGATAAGTGTAGTAATTAAAGTCTATTTAGGAGGAAAATATCCTAAGAATTCATATCCCAGGATTCTGCATGTTCAATTAGACCTTCTGGGGCCAAAACAGCCCTGCAAAGTCAGGCCGCACCCCACTGGAATTGAGGGCTCTGAGTGTCCTATGATTATTTTTTTTTTAAATTCATATACCACTATATCTGTTTTTCAAACTGTAGGTTTGGACCCATTATTGAGTAATATATAATCAATTTAGTATATCAGAATTAACATCCTCTACAAAAAGAAATGAAATAAAGTGGAATAGAAGTATCAGAGTACATTACAGGTAGAAAAAATTATCATAATCAGTTTTGTGAAATTTTATTACATATGTGTGTATACATACGTACACATGTACATGTAGTGGGTTGCAATCCAAATGCATTTGTAGTTACAAACTGTAGTCAAAGTGTGAAGCACTGCATTAAAATATATTCTTCAAGAAAAAGTTTGGTGATTGTTCTCCAAAAGAAAAGAAAAGAGAAGAAAAAAATAACCCCTAACAAAATATTGTTATAAGGTTTTTGAATCATGGGTTATATTTTGTTATACTGATGAAATAGTAATAATATTGACAAAAACATTATGAAATAATTTAAGTGTTTCTAAAAGACTATGAGACTTTCTACTAGTATGATTACAGGTTGAACATCCTTAATTCAAAAAATCCAAATTTCAAAAGGCCCAAAATCAGAAACTCTGAGGGCCAACATGATGCCCACAAGTGGAAAATTCCATACTATACCTTACTAATAGATTACAGTCAAAATGCTGCAACACAAAAATATTGTATAAAATTATCTTCAGGCCATGTATGTGTAAGGTGCATATGAAATAAGCAAATTTCATGTTCAGACTTGAATTCTGTCACCAAGATACCTCGTTATGTGTGTGTAAATGTTCCAAAGTCAAAAAAAATCCAAAACCGCTTCTAGTCCCATGTATTTTGGATTAAAGACACTCATTCTGTATACTACAGGAAAAGAAAATATTACCACAGGACAAAGAAAAGTAAGGCCTTGTATACCCTTGAGCTCAACTGAAATCAATGTGTTCAATAAAACCAAATGATATAAATTACTTAGAAGACTTAAACGATTCTGAGGATAAACTCTCTTAACTAAGGTGTCAAGGCACACTGATGTGGGTTTTAAGTAGATTTTCATGGCATCTTTGGCAAGAGAAGTTCATTTACCCGAGTACTGTGCAAATTTTCTGTGTATGTAATCAATGAAAAGGTTGGAAAATACTGATATGCAATAAGCGAACAACAGTCATTCTTCCCTAAACGAAGTAAAAAAATATATCTAAGCAGATCTAAACAGTGTGGCCAAGATTTACAAAGCATTACTTATTTATATATTAGCTTTAAGTTGGTACATATATATTTCACAGCTAAAAAAAGTTTTAAGAGACTATATAAAAGGAAAAAAATACTCTCATGTTGAATATACATAGGAGTCCTCTGAAAAAATTTGCTAGAAGGAAATAAAAAGAAGATAAGTACCTGAGAATAATCTTCTGGTTCCACCTGTGGACTGTGATCCTCTATAGAAAATACCAACAAACTGCTCTGAATTTTTTCTAACAAAGTCAAGTTCTCTGGATCAAGACCAATCAGATATTCTCTTGCCTGAAGTACAAAAAGATAAATGACTAAATGTTATAATTTAAATGTAATATATCCAGATAATCTCAGAAGAGTTCATTAGATAAAGGGTTCGTTTAAAAAATATAAATCATAACCTTAGCCCATCGAGTTCGCTCCTCACTAGTTAATGCTGCTACCCCAGGTCCGTTGGGTTCACTGTGGCACTTCTTGTAGATGTATGTTAATTGTCTTATGGAAGATTAAAAAAACAAGGATTCAAAAAGAGCAGAGGCAGATAGTAGCTATTTTGGCCCTTAACAGGACATAACATTGTTCAGTATTTAAATGCAATCTATTACCCAAAGAAATAGATTATAACCTCAACAGCAATGGATCTATTTCCTACATAGTATTTTTCTTAAAAGCAAAAACAAAAACAAAAAAGGATCACGTCCTATCAACACCAAAAACATATTTGACAGTAACTAAAGTAAATAAATTTGAGTTTGGTTAATAAATGTTTTTTGTATTATCATTAAGAGGGTGGGCACTCACTATAGAAAGAACCCCCTGATGGGGCGTAGTCATGCAGCAATCCCTTTTCCTCCATTTCTCCATCTCATCAAGATTTGGGGCATGTGCCTGGTGTATTTTTCAAGGCACTAGGGCTGGCACTTGAACCCTGGTTAGTCATGTGGGATCCAGCTCACTATGCACTGCACTAAACACTGTACTATGGGGCCACCAGTTGACATAATTTAGTTTGAAAATGTGCATGCACTTGTATGTTCCAAGTAAATACTCCTTCAACGGAGAAACTGAAAAATTTTTAAGAGTGATCTCACAAACAGCATGTAAATCTTATCTATAAACTCTGTGATATATTTAACCAGAAGCCTTACCATATATTCAATTAATATTTGTATTCTACCCAAAAAACTGAAAGTGGCACCATTGTTACTTCTAACCATTAAATTTTAAAAACTATTAGCTGTGGATACACCATTTCCTCTCATAGCATTTTATGCGTCCAGTCTGGGGAGTTTCATCTATCTTTATACATATAGCAGACAAATAATAGGACTCTACCATAAAGAGAGAAATTTTCACTAAAATCCATGAAGCTTTAGTTTCAGCCCTACTTTCTTCTTCTGGCTAAGAAGTGACCTCAACTTAATACCTATCTCCATTTTGTTTCCCTCATTATAGGATGTTTGACATATGGGTGTGAATCTCCGTAAAAAATTCTGCTATGACTTTTGTAGCACAGTTCCATTGCAGTCTCCCTAGCTCACTGACCACTCAGTTTTTTTCATTTACCATTTGTCCTTCCACTGCCAAATATATTTTCCCTCAAATTTCTGTCACTGCCTTCCCCAAGCATCTACTACAAGTTTTTCCCTTAGTACTTCTTTAATAGTTTTATTTCCTTTATGTAAGAGGTGACCAAATCTCTAACCTCAATACCATTGTTCTCTCTTAATCTCTGTCAACAAAGATCCAAATGTTTGCTGGATAGCTCTACCTCAACTTTTGCAAACATTTCAAATTAAACATAACCTAATAATTCTATTCATACGTATAGACCAAGAGAAATAAAACCATATGCCCTCACAAGACCTGTACATAATGATCATGTCAACATTATTAATAATAGTCAAAAAAAATTCTAAGTATCCATCAGCTGATGAATGGCTAAATAAAATGTAATCTATCTATATAATGGAATTTTTTTTTCTCTCTTTTTTTTTTGGAGGGGTTTTTGCTATAGGGCGCATGCACTCGCCAGACAGACAGAGAGAGACATAGAGACAGAAAATGAGAAATCACCCTCCGGGGGGATGGCCATGCTGCAATCCCTCCTCCTCCATTCTCCTCTCGGGATCTTGGGCACGCACGCACACGCGCCCGGCGTGAGTTTAAACCACCGGGTCCGGGACGTGAACCGCGGTCGACTATGTGGGAGTCCAGCAACACAGCCATTACGCTAACTGCTGGTCCCATATAATGGAATATTATTCAGTCATAAAAAGAATACTAATACTGAAATATGAACAAATCCTGAAAATATTATGCCAAGTGAAAATAGCCAGACACAAAATACATGTAAGATTTCACGTATATGAAATATCTAGTATAAGCAAACTTATAGAGACAGAAGAATGTAATTGCTTAGGGCTGTTGTGGTGGTGTTTGGGAGATACAGGTAGTGACTGTTAATAAGTGAAAAAGAGGGTTGAGGAGCAAAGGAAAGTGGCTGCTTATGGTTATAAGGTTACTTTTTAGAGTGACAAAAATGTTCTAAAATTGTGTTGATGGTTGCACACTTGCATGAAAATAATAAAAGGACCAAAATTACACACTTCCAATGAATAAATGGTATGGTCTGTGAATTATATATCAATAAAGCTGTTATCAAAAATGAAAAAAAATTGGGCCAGATAGGTGGCACATAGTGCTTAAGGCAGTTAATTCCCACAAGGCCAACGGTTTGAGTCCCAACACCATGGCTTGAAAAACATGCTGTGCACATGTGTGTACATGCCTAAAATCCTGAGAGGAGAATGGAAAAGGGATTCCAATGTGGCCATCCCCCCTGGGTGGGTGCTTTCTCATCCCTATCACCTGCTATCCCTCCACCCCCAATCTCTCTCTGGTGAGCATGAATATACCAACAAAAAAATATTTATCTAGAAACACAGGGTACATACTAGAAGTATAAGATAGTTTGATCAAAATTTAAACAATAGAGAGCTGGAGCCTCAAAAGGGATTTATTAAAAACTACTGCATTAATCCAGAAAAGTAAGAGGTTGAGACTTTAAAAAGATGGGTCAAATGCAGGAATTATTTTTTTCCTATAGCAAAAAAAAAAAAAAAGATAATTGAAATAGTTCTTCCTCTTCTGTTGCCTCTTCATTTATAATACTATCAGCTTTTTCATGCAAATTAAAAAACCTGGTTGATGATGTGTATACTAACTACCCCAACTTAATCATTGCACACTATATTCACATATGGAAAAAATCACAGTATAACAACTAATATACTAATTTAAAAAACAGAAGGCCAGACTATGGTATAGTTATTAAAGCAGCTGGATCCCACATGGCCAAATGCACATTTTAAGTTCCAGATTCGGTGACTTGAGAAATATCTGGGCATATGTGCATGCATGCCCAATAACCGGAAAGGAGGGAGAAATGGAGAAGAGATTGCAGTGTGACCATTCTCCATGGGGGTGCTTTGTCATTTTCCTTTTCTCTTTCTGTCTCTCTTTGGCAAGCACACATACACTCTGGTAAAATTTTTTTAAAAAGGCAGGGAGGAGGGGAAAGAAAAAAACTCATTAATAATTCCTTCCTTCTTTTCTAAATGAGGTCACCAATTCTTTATTAATTTTATCTCTAAAATACCTCCTTCATTTTTTTTTTTTTTTGGGAGAGGTTTTCGCTATAGGGCGCATACGCTTGCCAGACAGAGACAGAGAGACAGAAAGTGAGAAATCACCCCCCAGGGAGGATGGTCACGCCGCAATCCCTTCTCTTCCATTCTCCTCTCAGGATCTTGGGCATGCACGCACACGCGCCCAGTGTGAGTTTTTAGCCACCGGGTCCGGGACGCGAACCGCGGTTAACTACATGGGAGTCCAGCGACATAGTCATTACGCTCACTGCTGGTTCCCAAATACCTCTTGTATTTGACTCATCTTTTTAAAGTCTCAACCTCTTACTTTTCTGGACTAATGCAATAGCTTTTAATAAATTCCTTTTGAGGCTCCAACTCTCTATTGTGCAAAATTTGATGAACTTATCTTATACTTCTAATACGTACCCTTTGTTTCTTGATAAAATTTCGTAATACCCAAGTCTGGCCTGATCACTCAATTTGCATAAAGACTGTGTGTGCGTGTGTGTGTATATATATAATATATATATATTATATATATAAATATATATAAATATAAATATATTTTGCCAGAGGTACATGTAATTACCTTAGATACTGAGAGATATAGAGATAAAGAGATAGATAGAGAAAGCATGCCCCATGGGGAATGGCCACCCCACAATCCCCTCTCTTCCACT